TTTCCACTTCCAACAGTGAGTGCCAAGAAGTAAGTGGTGCAGTGCCGGTGAATGAATGATCTAGTGCACATAGGGATGAATTCTCCCTTATTCCTTTCTTTCAACTCCCTCTTTCTTCACCTTGCAACAACCCATAGCTGTCTCTGCAGACTCGTGTGACAGCGTGGATTGCGGCAGCAAGGGTGGTGTCTGCCGAATGTCAGGTGGCACTCCCGAGTGCGTGTGCTCGAATGGTTTAAAATTCGACGAACCTGACAAGTCGTGCTACGGTGAGTGCTGCGCTGGTGAGTGTTGCAATCGTGAACCGTAGACGATGCATTTCGCAATATGAATCACATTTCAGCTGGAAGCGTTGCTGTCTGAGTGCTTTTTCAAAAGTCGTGCTATTCCACCCGAACTCGGTTTTCTTCTCCTCACTCCCCACACCTCTGCTCCTGTCTGCTCCCTCCCTCTCCCTTGCACTGTGCCACCACCAACTCGATGTCTTCAAACCCCCATCATCACCAAACGACGCCCAACGGCCACGATATGGCATCAGGCCCCTTACTCCAGACGACAGTGCAGCTGCAGGTGAAGCAGAATGGCGTTCAGGAAAACGTCAAGTTCACCACCAACGTGCCGGCAGCACAAGCAAGTGGCAGCACCGCCTGCACCGACCTGGCCTCCACCTTCAGCCACCGTGGCGACACCCAGATCAGCGTCCAGTGGCAGTCCTACGGCCTTCAAGGGGCCGGCAACGGCATGTGCAAAAGAGTTTCTTTCTTCAGCAACCCGGGCTGCACGGGCAATCCGGGCCTCACGATCCCGCGTCCTGCAAAGAATGGTGGCTCCTACCACAACACGGACAGGTGTGTGAGTGTGCTGCACGCCACATCATGTGTGGCTTTGTCTGGTGTGGTTCTCGCGCATTCCAAGGAAGAATAAGCACTTCAATCACCGGAATCTGCTTCCCACTTCCTTGTGCGAATTGCGCCAGAACACTTATTTGTCCTCATTTATGCTCTTCGTGGATACCTTTCCCCCCCTCTCAGGACTGTCAAAGCGACGGATTTGCCGAGATCAGTTGGCTGTGAGATAAGTAAGTGCGAGCACATGTCTCTAAGTTTGAGAAACAAAAATTGAAAATCTTGCACACAACTCTGTTAATACCGCATCTGGATATTCTCAGAACGCATTCAGCACTACACCAAGGCTATCCTCACCTCATCTCAGGGGAAGATGCACATGCACATGCACGTTACCTCATCCTTGTTATGATCCCTTGAGACCTTGACCATACCAAACAAACAGAGAGATAGGGGAAGAGAGAGTGAGAACCTTGAAACATCTTGCAGATTTTATTGTTGTGTTTGCCAAAAAAAACCTTGAAATGCCTGTTTGTCCCTCCGTTTCTGGTGCCCACAATAGCCACGTGCCACAAGGACTGCGGAGCTGCTGAGTGCGTTGTGAAGGAGGGCCAGTCCCAGTGCCAGTGCCCCTGGGGCTTCATGTTTGACGAGGCACAGAAGATCTGCAGTGATAAGACCTTCAATCATGGTAGGTCAAGTGTTGAATGTCTGCCAACGTCTACGAATTAGACCAAACCTGTGCACGTGCCCCCAAAAGCCCCGTGCAAGAGTTCTATCGTACAAGAGCCCACTGCAAGAGCCCCTGTGCCCACCCGCCTGTCTTGCATACAATGAGAAAGAGAGAAAGAAATGCCTCTTGTCGCCCTGGCAGGCTGATGCTTCTCTAACTGCTTCCCCCCTCTACCCATGGCAGCTGACAACTCTTGCAAGACGGGCACACTCAAGTGCGACAAGAACTCCATGTGCGTTGTGAAGAACGGGCAGGGCATGTGCCAGTGCAACGCCGGCTACACCAAGACCAACGGCCTCTGCACTGGTGAGCTCACCAAGGGGTCAAAGGCCGGTGAGGTGACGTGATATGAAGAGGTGAAGAAGTGAAGAGGTGGAAAGGAAAGAAAAAAGGAAATTCAGATATTGTCCAGCTGCTAGATGCAGTGAACGAGATCATGGTGCTTCAACATGAGTTGGGCTTGAGTGCTTGTGGGCGGTGTGTGGCATCCACTTTCTCCTCCTCCTTCCAGGTACTCAGCCTCAAGCCCTCTCCCCTCTCCCCTCTCCCCCAACGCCCACCTCCCACCCACGCCAGCCATGTGCAAGCCTGCCTGCCCTGCTAAGGCCCAGTGCACGGTGGTGGGAGGAAAGGCCAAGTGCCAGTACAAGGCGGGCTTCAAAATGGACCAGGGCACGCGGCAGTGCACAGGTAAGGAAGACATAGCGCGTGCATTCCATTTTGCCACGGGTACTTGGAAGCTACACCTCCTACTTTTATCATTGTTCTTCCACACTCACCACTGGCGCCCGCAAGCACGCATGAACAATCTCTGAGTCCCCTTCCAACCGTTTACTCTCATAAAAGCCTTCCCTGTCGACCCTGCTCATCCTCCATTCTTCCCTTCACCCTCACCGTCCCGATTTTATGTGGCAGCCGCATGTTCATCTCCCTGCCCTGCTAATGCCCAGTGCAAGATGGTGCAAGGAACAGGGCGGTGCCAGTACAAGCAAGGGTTTAAAATGGACAAGAGCAAGAACAAGTGCACACGTAAGGGAAAAACACAACGCGTGGTCTTCTTTCTTCCTTGCTCCTATTCTAATAGGCTACTCTCATGCATTCGTTCCTTGTCAACCCTGCTAATTCTCCATTCCTGCCAACTCCTGCTCACCCTTGTTTACCATGTGGCAGCCATATGTCCGGCCGGCTGCCCCGATGATGCCCAGTGCAAGATGGTGCAAGGAACGCCGCAGTGCCAATGCAAGCAGGGGTTCAAGATGGACTGGAGCAAGAACAAGTGCACAAGTAAGGAAGAGAAACAACTCATGCTTTCCTTTCTGTTCTGCTCTTTTGAAAGCTACCACAGCTCGAGTGATCTTATGCTCTTTGCCCTCTCTCACAATCTCTGAATCCCATTCCAACCGTCGCATCTCATGCATGCCTTCCCTATCAGCGCCGCTCGTCCTCCATTCCTTGCATCTCCCACACCCCCCAGGTTTTAATGTGGCAGCCATATGCCCGGCTGGCTGCCCTGATAATGCCCAGTGCAAGATGGTGCAAGGAACGCCGCAGTGCCAGTGCAAGCAGGGGTTCAAAATGGATTGGAGCATGAACAAGTGCACACGTAAGGAAGAGAAACCACTCATGTTTCCCATTATGTTCTGCTATTTTTAAAGCTACCGCAGGTCAAGTGTTCTTATGGTCGTCGCTTTCTTTCACAATTTCTAAATTCTACTACAACCGTCGCCTCTCATATATGCCTACCCTGTCAACTCGCTCATCCTCCATTCCTTGCAACTTCCGCACACCCCCGTTTTTCATGTGGCAGCCATATGTCCGGCTGGCTGCCCTGATAATGCCCAGTGCAAGATGGTGCAAGGAACGCCGCAGTGCCAGTGCAAGCAAGGGTTCAAGATGGACTGGAGCAAGAACAAGTGCACACGTAAGGAAGAGAAACAACTCATGCTTTCCTTTCTCTTCTGCTCGTTTGAAAGCTACCTCAGCTCAAGTGATCTTATGTTTGTCACCCTCTTTCATAACTTCTAAATCCTACTACAACCGTCGCCTCTCATATATGCCTACCCTGTCAACTCGCTCATCCTCCATTCCTCGCACCTCCCGCA